TGGGGGGAGCGTTTCCCTCATGCCAAGGCAACGCCAAGCCGGTATGATGGCAACATGCCGTGTTGGGCGGCGACGGCGAAACGTCAAGAGCAGTGTAGGCCTACACCAGCACCCTCCCCCCGCCCACCATGACATAACAGCGTAAAAGCAACCACAACAGCAACAACAACAACAACAACAACAACAACAACAGCAACCAGAACAACAAACGGCAAAAACTAACAGCGCCATCAGCAACGGTAGCAGCACCAGACAACAAAGACCCACCGACATCACCCATCATCTCTGTGCCGAGAAAACACACATCCAACACACGCAAACACAACACAAACACAACACAAACACACCTGTCGTCTGACGAACTCTTCCTCCGGCAAGCTGAGCACCTTACGGATCTCCTCGATGTCCGTCGACACGTACTCCACCTATAGTAGATCAGACACGCACAGCAAGCAGCACGTGAAGAAAAAAGTCAGACACGCAGTAGTCTAGTACACAACAACGACCACACAAGAGACAACAATAAATTATAAACTCAAGTATATATGGTAACTTTTTATTTTGACAAAGGCGCGAAGAAGTGGATTCTTGTTATGGGAAAAAACGGGGCAGCTGTGCGGAAATTGAACTCAGGTAGAGTTGACGGCGCTTACAAGCGCATAGAATTCGACGGTAGAGAAAACCCTTCTCAGGTATGGAACTCCGTGGTTATACCATCTCCGGTGTTAGGCTGTACAGACAACGCAGCTGCCTCCACGAAACGATGGCTTGTCCTACCGTATGTTCATGCATGCGTACTCTGGCAAAGAGCTCGTACAACAACGAGGGGGAAAGAGCAGCAACAGCGCAGCAAGGGCCACTCTTTTTATTCCTCTGGCCCCTTGCGGCAGAGCTACAACCGCCCCCCTCTCGCGTGTTTGTGCAGCGAGAGGGTGCAACAACGCCACAACAGCGCAGCAAAGCGCCAATTTTGTTTTTTCCATTGCATCCTTCTCGCGACTAAAAGGTATCCCATTTTTTCGTGCTCGCATGCATTCAGCGAGCGGGTACAACAACAGCAGCAGCAGCAACAACAGCGCAGCAAACACCACCTCCTTCTCGTGCCTCTGCACCCTTGAGGCGCACCTGCAACCATATATCCCCTTTTTCGCGCGCCGAACCAAACAACACAACACCTAACCAACAAACCCCTTCGACGACCAGACTCTCTCTCCCTGCCCCTCCCGCAATACAACAACACAAGCGTTTACCGTAGTTTGCATAAGATATCACACCCCCTGGCCCGATTTTCAAATCTCAATGATGTACTCGGCAGGAGTGTATCAGTGACGGTGCCGAAAAAGGTGACGTTGTAACCGTCTCGCCCGAGAGCTTTCCGAAAAACGTAATCCTTCGGTTCCAGCATCCTCTTCGTCGTGGAGAAATGGAAGCTTTGACAAGATCGTTCCAGGGGGTGTGGTATCTTACGCGCTATGCAACCTACGGTAGGCTCCCACGCTCCTCGTCTTTGCCGTACCTCAGCAGCGTCGTTGCTGACGTCCTCCATGAGCTTCTTCTCGAGGATTGCCAACGCCTCGGTGGCGATGGGGTCTAGCTTGGCCGCCGCAGCCTGCATAAGGTGAGCACGGGCCTGGAAAAAGACCACGGGTAATTTTGAAAAAGCCGGGGGGGGGCAACGCGGTATCGTGGGGGGGGGGGGGGGGACCCCTTTTTTGGTTGGCGGAATCCTTTTACCCTTGGCCCCCGGGGGGGGGGGGGGGGGGATCCTAAT